AAAAAAAAAAAAAAAAGTCGTTTTATATAAAGGACTTAAGTATCCTCAGAGGGGAATCCCCTGATGATCCACGTGGGTTCCTGGACCGAATGCCCCGCAGGTATCTAGGGATGACTAATGCTATATAACAAATCAAACAGGCTTAGTGGCCTGAAACAGCAGTCATTTTTTTTGGTCTAAATTCTGTGGGTCAGGAATTCAGGAAGGGCCTGGCTAAGCAGTTCTCGACTGGGGTCTCTCATGTGATTGCAGTCTGATGTCAGCTGGGGTTGGAGTCATCTGAAAGGCTCAGTTGGACAAAAGGCGCAAGACAGCTCCCTCCCATGGCTGGCAGGTGGTGTCGGCTGTCAGCTGAGAGCTCAGCTGGGGCTGTAGATCAGAGTGACTCCACATGGCCTCTCCAGCGTCACAATCTCAGGGCAGACTTCTTACATGGGGCTGGCTTACCCCAGAGCAAGTGTCCTGAGAAAAGCAGATGAAAACTGCATGGCCTTTTATTACGTACCCACCCAACTTTACTTACAGAAGCAGTCGTAGCCTCCCAGAATCGGGGGACACAGATCCTATCTCTCAATGGGAAGAGTGCCAAAGAATGTTGGCACCACGTTTAAAACCATCACAGATGACATCTCAGCAATGGTCTCTCTTTCTGCGCTAACTGGGACCTTAGAGGTTAAGGCCCTGGAGCACACCAGGAGACCCTAGGCTAGCACTCGTGGTGCAGATTCAAAGACGAGGCCAGAGAGCACAGAGCCTGGCCCACCCTGCCTGTCCGGGACAGTGAAGGCCACAGACAGCAAAAGCCTCCCGGAGGGAGGGGCCAAGTCAGTAACTCGTGCTGGGAAGGAGGCCTATGGGCGTGGGCAACACAGCAAGACCCCATCTCTACGAAAAGTGTTTTTAAAAATTTGCTGGTGGCATGCGCCTGTAGTCCTGTCTACTTGGGAGGCTGAGGAAGGAGAATCGCTTGAACCCAGGAGGCGGAGGTTGCAGTGAGCCGGGATCATGCCACTCCACTCCAGCCTGGGCAATAGAGCAAAACTCTGTCTAAAAAAAAAAGATTGCTGGGTGCAGTGGCTTACACCTGTAATTTGAGCACTTTGGGAGGCTAAAGCAGGTGGATTACTTGAGCCCAGGAGGTCGAGACCAGCCTGCAACACAGTGAAACCCTGTCCTATAAAAAATACAAAAGATTTAGCCAGGTGTGGTGATGCATGCCTGTAGTTCCAGCTAATTGGGAGGCTGATGGTACGATTGCTTGAGCCCAGGAGTTTGAGGCTGCAGTGAGCCGTAATCGTGCCACTGCACTCCAGCTTGGGCAACAGAGAAGGACCCTGTATTGAAAAACAAAACAACAAAACAAAACAAAACAAAACAAAAGGCCTGTTGGGGCAAGGGGGCTGGGAACCTGCACTTGGGTTCTCAGGTTCAAAAGAAGCTGAGCTGCAGGCAATCAGTCACAGAAACCCAGCCAGGGCAGGGAATGTTCACAGCTGTACTCCCAACAGCTTCTCGGCAGAGATTTGTTGGCCAGGTGCAGTGGCTCATGCCTGTAATCCCAGCACTTTAGGAGGCCGGGGGGTGCTGGCAAGCAGGGGGAGGTGGATCACTTGAGGCCAGGAGTTCGAGACCAGCCTGGCCAACAGGGCGAAACCCTGTCTATAATAAAAATACAAAATGGCCTGGTGCAGTGGCTTACGCCTGTAACCCTTACCCTTTGGGAGGCCGAGGCGAGTGAATCACCAGAGGTCAGGAGCTCGAGACTGTCCTGGCCAACATGATGAAACCCTGTCTCTACAAAAAATACAAAAATTTAGCCCATGTGGTGGTGGTCACCTGTAATCCCAGCTACTTGGGAGGCTGAGGCAGGAGAATTGCTTGAACCCGGGAGGCGGAGGTTGCAGTGAGCCCAGATCGTGCCACTGCATTCCAACCTGGGTGACTGCATGAGACTCCATCGCTAAATAAATAAATAAATTAATAAAATAAAAATACAAAAAATTAGCCAGGCATAGTGGCAAGTGCCTGTAATCTCAGCTACTCAGGAGGCTGAAGCAGGAGAATCACTTGAATCCAGCAGGCAGAGGTTGCAGTGAGCCAAGATTACTCCACTGCACTCCAGCCTGGGCAACAAGAGTGAAACTCCATCTCAAAAAGTAAAAATAAAAAAATAGAGATTTGTTGACTGTGAGGAGTAGGGCATGTTGGGGAAGGGTAGGGATCTGCCCTGGTCCCTGCCCCTTGCTCCTCTCCGCCTTGCCTCTGCACAGGGTAGCTGCCAAGGTGGCAAATGCCCAGCCACTTGTTTTTTTTTTTT